TACCTAATCCTTAGGCCGAGCAGTTGTCGTCAAAGAACCATCCCGAAAACCAGAACCGGCATGATCCATGTTGCGCAGCAGCTGTGAACAAAGCCTCCGGTCGTGATGTTTTTGAAGCATGTGCTCCCTCCTAATATGATGTGCGAAAAATTCCATCAATCCCACACCTGCGGATCAACCTGCAACACTTGTTTTGAGCATTGGTCATTGATTCCTGCTGAGACGAGCTGGTGTTTAGGCAGAGCCGCCATGGTGAAGTGCACGCTGCCCAAATCAAGCCGCGTCAAAGCACCGACTTGGCAAAAGGACTTGTCCATCATCAAGCGCCTGAGGGCAAAAAAAGATGCTCCAGTTGATTCCATCGGATGTGAGCGCTTGGCGGATGTGAAGGCCTGTCGACGGACATTTGAATGGCAATGCTTGGTGGCTGCCATGCTGTCCTCGCAGACCCGTGACCAAGCCACTGCAGCTGCAATGGAAGTTTTGCAGAAGTATGGCAACACAGTGAGCAAAATTGCCGCCACGCCAGAACCGAAGCTGGCGAAGCTGATTTGTGGAGTTGGCTTCTTCAATGTGAAAGCCAAGACGTTGAGGGCTGCAGCGAAGGTGTGCCTTTCAGAGTACAAGGGGCGCATTCCTCAAACCATGGAAGGTCTGCTCTCCCTGCCCGGCATTGGCCCCAAAATGGCGCACTTGGTGATGCACAGCGCCTTCAATCGCCCCACAGGCATTTGCGTGGATACCCATGTTCATCGAATTGCCAACAGGCTTCGGTGGGTTCAAAGCAAGACTCCTGAGGATACCCGCAAGAGCTTGCAGGCGTTACTTCCACGAAGGGAATGGGCAGGAATCAACGTCCTTTTGGTTGGATGCTTGGATGCCTGGTAAACTCTTGTTCATACGACTTGCCTGCTAATCGAGGGCACTTGTGAGCATTGGGTGACTGAGGACTTGGACAAATGCAACAGCAAGCTTCCTCGCAGCTTCTTGCACGGGCCCTTCGTGTTCGCTCTAATGTGGAAGCGGTGCATCTCCTCCAACGGATTGGCGTCTCCCTAAAAGCTGGTCAGAATGATGCCTTGGACAGGCTGGCAGCCACAGACAAGCGCCTGCGTCTCTTCTGACAAGGAAGCCTCATGCAATCCCAGAACTTCGGAGTGAGTCAGAATTGCAATGGGTTGCTCCATCTCTCTTCCTTGAAGCATGTTGATGTCCGATCACATGGCCAATGCTTTGACGCCCTTGCAGCTTACAGTTTCTGTTGCCATCCGACCGTAGTGTATTTCCATATGTAAGAGGTTGGTGGAGTAAGCAGTCTATGCTGTACGTTTGAAAATGTGAATGTTATGATGTCCGGCCAAAACCACAAAGTAATTAGGTAGCAGGCCTGTCATGAGTTTGGATGTAAGTTCAGCTTCCTCGTCTGCATACGACTCTTTTGTTCGGGGTCTTGCTGCATGAAGATCTGTGCTGATATGTAGTGTGGGGCATACACAACATAATCCTGACAATCCTCACTAGCAGAAAGTCGAAGTGGCAAACTTTTCGCAGACCAACAGACTAACAACGCCACAATGAAGTGAGTTTGCCGCATGCGCACGTGTCGCTTACAAATGTTGACCTCCCATGGCGGCATATTCTGCACGGGTAGCGTACGGCACCGCCAGTGAGGATCTCAGCTTTTGGATGGGTTTAAGGTTTAGGGGACACCTATGCTTGGACTCTCTATGCGGACTTCTTTCGCTCAATTGAGGCAGCGGGGCTCCTCCGCGCAAGCTTCAAGATGCCGCCGGCTTGGCAATCAGCGTGCCAGTTAATGTCACTAAAAACTCAGCATGTTGTGGCAATCCTCTTTGCGCTTGTGGAACGCCCGTTCGCGGCATTTGCAGCTCAGTGCCTTGAACGGATGTAATGACATGTGGCCACCTCTCTTGATCCCATCATGCCCTGTAGTCTGGACACACGGCCCACGGTCTAAGAACCCATGCCTTGACCTGGTGACGTAACCTCTGGAACAGATGATGCCACCAGCAGCGCAAATACTTTTAGCTTGAATGGCCTGAGATAAGTTGTTACTTTAAGGCCCACCGCAAGCGCGGCCACTCCAGCGGCACGGCGGGCAGGTTGGTTCAGTTCATTTCTTATCCAAGCAGGAGATCTGTATCTAGTTTGCAGAAGCTTGTTTGTCCTGTCTGAGCATCAGATATTGCTGACTACCTCAGCCTAGATTTGCAGTGATTGTGCTTTTCTCAGGCGGACGGCAGAAGATCGCCAGCGCCCAGAACGCCCTATTGGAGGCTGCGGCCTATCGTGTTGACTGCGCGGCAGAGAGGCGTGCAAGGTCGAGGAAGGTGAAACTCGAACCTGATTGTACGTCAGCTACAGGTTGGAAGGCAAGGAGAACTAGACCTCTACCCAAATTACAGGGCCTGTTTTAGGCCAATGAAAGCTGAGGTGCCAGGCCGGATATCACTGCTTAGTGTCAATAGGATTCCATGATCAATTTCAGGCCCCACTGCTAGCGCCGGCCTTGCTCGTCCTGGCGGCGGCCCTGGGTTCAGGGAGTCTCTTGGATGTCTCTGTTTGTGAAGTGAGGTTCCCGAACCTGCCACGAGGACAGATAGATACGATGAAGCTGTTGCATGTGCTTGGCTTGTTCTTGACTGTTGAAAAAAGGGGTGGAGCTTGAGAGGTTCGCCATGCAGATGCTGCTCATCCAACCCCTGTTCCTCTGAGCCGGATACATGCTGTGCGGTTCCCAGTTCGGGAAGGTGGGTCGTCTTTTTTCATAAGAGTTTTGTGAGACGCGCCTTGACACAAGACAGATGTTTGTCTTTGTTGCTTCTTGCTTTTTCCAGGTGTCTGGCAGCACCCAACCTATGCTTTCGATGAATCCTTGAAGCAGCTGAAAGGCTCTGGAACGGCGGCACCTGGAGCGTGCGGCGAAGAACAGGCCAGTTCGCCACTGTTGCTTTTCATAATGTGAGGCTTACGGGAGGCTTGCAGGCAAAGCTTGCGAGAGACATGTCTTTCTTGGCGCTTGGTGTAGGCCTGACACCACTGTTCTCGCCTCAAGCGACTCAAAACGCCTTGCATTAATCCTCCGCTCGGGTCCCAAGGTGCTTGAAGGCTCAGCGCAAAGCACCAGGCTCCCATCGCACTGGAATTGCGAAACTTTGCGGACTTGCATTCCTGAACCGAGAACAAGTCACAGCCCGCGACCAGTCTACAACCCGCACAGCGCAGAAGAGCTGTGCTGAGCTTCAGCGAATGCCAGGCGATCCGAGGAAGCTGGCAAGCGGTTGTCAGAGTCTCAGAGATCCAGAGCTTCTCAACAAAGAAATTTGCGCTGAGCTCTGCTCCAGAGAGGCCATCCAAACAGTCAGAGGAAGGGGAGGAAGGTGCGCACTGGAATCTTCTTTCTTCTGAAGCCTGCAAACTGACTCGTGGGGTCCACGGGTTCCAGGTGCTGAAGATCGCCAGCCGCGTTCTCTGCCACAGCCTCGAAGTCTGTAAAGAGAAGAAGTTTCTTCTTAGCAACGTGCGCACAACTGATTGAAGGTCCAGTGCGGCTGCGGCTGCGGCAGCGGCACCCTCCACCTGGGAGGATCGCTCGGAGCGGATTCGTCCCAGAACGTCGAGCCTACAGTCCCAAAGTGCAGCCTCCTTTGAAAGTTTTGAGCTGACGAATCCGAGGCCTTCCGGAAATTTCTCAGCACCTACATACACAGAGGAGCGATATGAACTCCCACCTCGCCCAACAACGTGCCTGCACTCAGATGCACTCAGAGTAAAAGCTTTGTCCAGTGGGGCCTGTATGCATGACTGACGCAACTGTGCAGGCCGTGCATGAACAGAGGCGTTCATGCTCACACACATGCTGAAGAGCGTGTGGAGTTCAAAGTGACGAGAGCTAAGTGACATTGCCAGCAGTGACCACATTAAAGAATGTCAAAGATGAGGGATCTAGTCCCACCTTCAAGGCCGGGGCCTGACGGGGACACACATGCTGAGCTGCCTCCACGCCCCACCACGTCGGACTCTGAGATACAAGCTGAAACATGGTTTGGATAGAAGGCTGCTTGGTGCGCAAGGCCATGCATGAATCGAGGCGGTGACGGGGCTTTGGGCTGAGACCAGGGCCTGTGCAGTTCCTCACGGGTACTCTCGTCCAACAGCAGTTGGCCATGTCAATGCTTGGCAGACGCGACGCAAGCGGACAAGTTCTGCCGGAAGGCTGGCCAGGAGATTGCAGGACTTGGCCTCGAGTCCAAATTCTTCGATTCCCAGGACTGGCGGCGCGCGCCCAGCGTCTGGATCTGTGGCTTGGCTTCCTTGCAAGCTTTTCGGCCAATTCACGCTCTACTTTGGTGCTTGGTATCCGAGACCTTTGCAGGTTGGCTCGCGAATGCATCAGCTGGAAAGTAGCACAGCTGCACGTTTGGATGCTCCTCATCTCTCATGCTGACCTGCTGCAGGTCGGCTCTTGAGCGCTCACCAGCAGTCCGTAGAGGCAGCTTGCTGGATTCTGATCTTCATGGCATGTGATCTCAGTTCTGGTGCAGGGTGAGTGGGCACCTCGAAGCCAAGTTCGGTTCGGGTCTGTGTGCCACTGTTCGAAAAAAAGCCGGGCTGTGTGGGAGCAAGGCCTGCAAGCTCGGGCGGCCGATGTCAGGATCCCCGAGGAGTGCAGGTCTCGGACGTCGAGCGCGTGTTTTGCGTGTTAACGATTCTTCAAAAGCAGAGCCGAGGCAGGCCGAGTACCTCACAACAGGCTCGTGCAGGAGGCCAGCGGCCAGAGCAGAAGAACTCGGGCGCGACTTTCACAGCACATTCCGTACCGCAGGCCATAGAGATGTGTCGCCAGTCACAAGCAGCTGGGAGTAGTGCAGACGCCCGGACAGCAATGACAGCACTCGAAAGTTTCAGGGTCTGGCTGGTTACCATGGTGGTATTCAGCTTTATCACGTGTAGCAAGGCCACAGCGAGCAGTGTCACTGATGTGGAGGCAACGGCAAGCTGGGTTGAGCGTGGCTGACGACGGTTGTGGGGCATCTGACTTTCTGACTTGCTGTAGCTTGCCTCAGGCTGCAGAGCTGGCTTCGCCCGCGCTGTCCCCACCCCCGGAGCGACTTGAGAGGTGGAACATGCAGGCCCTGCTCAGGCTCTGGTCAACCGCACCTGCAGCCAGGCCGCAGGCGCCCACGCCAGAGCAAACGAACCACTGGCTGCAGGCCTTTTTGAAATTACACAGTTGCTTGTAGCTCTCTTAAATCCTAAGCTCTGTCAAATGCCTACACGTCCTGGCAGGGCATGGAATGCACGGACGAAACTGAAGCCACCGAAGCCAGCATGGAGCGGCCGAGTGCGCCCCTCCAGGCGAGGTCACACAGCAACAGCTTCCCTCAAGCTACCTGCCTTCTGTGCATGCCAGTACCGTGGTGTGTCCCCGGCTCGTGGCTCTGATGACGGCTCAGCCTGCATGCTCCTCGCAAGACTTAAGAACAGTGTGCCTCCGCACTCATGACTCACCTCATGACTTTTAAGAAGGCGTCCGCGAAGTCCCACTCCGACAAAGATGCTGGCCTGGGGCGAGGAGCAGGCATGGCCTTCCAACCGCATGAGTTTGCATGTCACTTGGCAGCCAAGCAGAATTTCCAGCGAAGTTCCGCATGTTCCGCAGCACAACCATATTGAAGGGCTTGGTGAAGAGCGACAGGCAAAATGCTGCACCTCAGCGAGTAGTCTTCGGGTTATCTCGTGCCAAAACCTTGTAAACCGAAGGGGTAACCCAAAACCGAAGGCCCCAAAATTCAAACAACAACACCGCCAAACGCAGGGGGTAACCCAAAACCGAAGGGGCCCATGTCCGAGATAATATTTCAACCTTTGGATTTTGCCGAAGCTGCTCTTTCGAAGTATCTTAGACATGTGGAACAGCTAATGCTTGGCACCATCTTGCGACGGCATGATCTCTCCGGTGCTCTGTCTGGGCGCAGCATCCGAAAAGTATTAAAGCTTTGAAGAATCTTGAGCAGAAATCATAGGACAGCACCCCAAGCGGTGGGCCATCTTCGCGACCACTGTGCGACCATGGGATGAGTTGAGCCTTTGGAAAGGAACTGGGTTCATTGAGGGATCTCAGGTTGCATGATCATGAGGCATGAGTGGTTTGGTTGAGTTCTGAAGGTCTGCTTGTGTCTGCTAGTTTATTTCCTCGGCAAAGATCACACGAATGTCCAACAGCAGCTTTGGAGATCCTTCCATGAAAACAGAAATGGAGCAGAAGACGGATGCAGCCTTCGAAGGTACGGCTCACCAACCAGCGATGATGATGATCCTTTCGGCCGAGGTCTGACACAAGCCATGCCCAGCACCTCTTGAGCTGCTCTTAGCTTGGCAACTGCAGGGGACCACTCCGATGGCCTGATCAACAGGCTGATTGAGGCAGAGCCGTGAGATTCAGTTTCAGGCAGACAGCAAATTTGCCTACAGACCTCACCTTACAGTCTGCAACCTCGTTCTGCAGACTTCAGGAGTCCCTGCCAGGCCTGCCAGATGGATGACGTTCGCAGGGCATTCGGCATCTATGAGAGGCAACTTGTGCACGACGCGGGCACGCGACTGGGCTCCTTCAAGTTCCAGTCCTTTGTGTTGAAGGCTTCGACGGATGGAGGTGCCACTATATGAAGGAGCCTTGAGCCTCAGAAAGAAAAGTGAATCCAAACTTTAACCTGTTGATGTCCCGCACCGCCTGAGGTTTACAAACTCATCATTGAGCAACGACCTTGGTTGCTGCCTACACCTGGAGGACAGTTTGCAGGGCCTGCCCCCTGAGGTGTTGCACGCGCACCCACCAGCTCGGTCATGGCATCCAGCCTGGAACTCAAGCTAGCAGAATCCTAATTTTGAGGTTCAGTGGATCAGCCCCCGCCCGAGTCATCTCAATGCCTGTTTCCTGGCACCAAGGTTCTATGAGACTTTAAAAAGTTTGGACCTTGGCTTCAGAGAGTGGGCACGTCTCAGTCGAATCTTTCGTGGAGAGTGCTGACAGCTGCCGGTTCTGTCGTGCAGCGCTATTCATTTGAAACACCAGTTCTGCCAACCAGAGGTTGGGTGTGCATTCTTCATTGGATGGAGGTGTTTGTTGTTTGAGTAGTTTTTCTGTTGGCTGCGAAGGCTCTGGGCAGCGCGTCTCCTCACGACTGCTGATCGTATTGATCGAGGTGTGGTCTTCAGGAAGATTGGGAGTGAGGAAGTGACTTGACGACTCCTGGCCCTTTGGGCCAGGCTTGTGCGCGGGAGCAGCACAGCGACAAGGCAAGGGCGCAGCTAGTTGGTGACGCGCGCGCAGATCGCCTGGCGATTTGCGCGCCTTCTTTTGTGTTTTTGATACTTTTGCATGGTTTTCCGCCTTTCGGCTGACCTCGGAGACCATTCTTCAACCTGTGCATAATAACGTTCGTGTTTCGAGAGCATACGGTTACCAGTGCATCCATGCCCAAACCAAAATAACGTTCCTGTTTTGAGAGCATACGGTGACCAGTGCTTCCATGCCCAAACCAAAATAACATAAAACAACATTCCTGTTTCGAGAGCATACGGTGACCAGTGCATCCATGCCCAAACGCAAGGGACAGTGAGCTGAAATCCACTCTAAAGGACATGATCTAGGTGTGCGTTTCCGATGTCCTCGCGCAGCAGTGCCTTGCATTAGGCCAAATGTTGAGCACCTCTCGCTCCACAAAACGCACATGATCGTGAAAACGGACACCAGTTTGCAGGGTTGCGCACTACCCCATTTTGCGGCTGAAATCGCGCTGAAACCTCAATTTCGTGCATTTTTTGACGCTCTGCAGCAACCAGGCGCTCTACGCGAGTGTGACCTAGTTAGGGGTCCTGCTCTGCTGCCTTGGGAAGGTGTATGCACTGTGGCAGGACGGGCAGGGAATCAACAGCAATAGACGGTAGACGATGTCTTTGCATATGGTTTGCCAGTTTACCACTTCCGCAAGGACTACTGCCCCAGGGGTGAGGAGATTGGAACAAGCCACCGTGAAGTGTTGTTGGTGACTCTGGCCTCGTTGTGCGGCGCCTGAGATACACTTTCGTGAGGGCTGGTCAGCTCTGGCTTTATCTGAGGGTCCGCACTCTGAGCCCTGATTTGGCCTTGGAGATCATGCGGGATGCCCTGCAAAGGCTTGCAATGTTAGTTTGGTTCCAGCTCTGAAATGTGTAGAGCTTCATGCGGCAGGTCCCAGTCCATAACCTGGATTGCAGAGGCACAGACACAGGCGCAAGCAACAGCAGATCGGCAGTTTTACGCGTGTGCTGGCTCGGACAGTCAGGTTTCGGATTTGCTCCAGCTAGTGGTGAGCGCTGCCAGCCAGGGGACCTGGACGAATCGAAGCCTGTTCCGTCAAAAAGTCCTCTCAGACTCAGGCGAGGCGCAGCTCGATGGAGCCGGGCAACTAGGTGGTGTTCTTGGAGGGATGTAGCCAATGTAGCAACCAGCTTCAGGGTTTGGCTTCTTCTGTGCGTCTTGAGGCCACAGTCTTTTGGCCAGCTACAAGGGCCTCGAGGTCGGAATCATTCCATTCAAGCTCCTGAGTATTCTGCATTGTGTAGATCGCCTAAGCAGGATCTCCTTCTGTGGATGCTGGAAGAAGCACATCGACAGACACTGGCCTTTCCCAGCAAGGGCCCTGCATTAGGCCTGGCATCGAAGCCCGCAACAGCAACGCAAGTTGAGCGACCTTCGCCTCCTTCACCTTCCGCAGGTTCTGGTTCCGACAGCCCAACAAGCATTGCCACGCGGCCGCCAAGTGGCCGGGTGGGCACCGAGCTCAGAGGTGAATGGGGAAAACAAATATGCAAAAACTGTGCAAAAACTGCAGCTAATTTTGGGGATCATTGGGAGAGCCTTTCTTGAGGCTTTGCGGCGGAGGACGAGCTTCTTTTGATGGAGGCCTGCTCATGCAGCTGGAGCTCATAAAGCAAAGTTGGAGTCCAAGCCTTTCAGGATGTTGACCTTGATTTAGAGCTGGCCGCCATGTGAGCCTGCTCTTTTAAAAATCTTCTAGGTTCTAGGAGCACAGAAGCACTGTGCTCCTGGATATAGACATGGCAGATTGCCTGGTTAATGCCTGCAGGTTAATCCACCGTTTATTTGCGGCTTGTGTGTGTCAACGTCAGACAGGCCTTAAACGGTGGAGCTTGCATTGTTAGCGGTGCAGCTTGAAGACTGTAGCTTGCACCTCGCTTCCGCCTTTTTCTGCCACAGATAAAGAATTGCACGTTTCCCAGCATTGCCATTATCGACTTCATGCCATGTGAGGTGAAGTTCATGTGTGCTCATGCGTGTTTTAGCACGCTCTGTCACACCTGGGAGAAGCTCAGCAATCTCGCAGCTGCTCGCGGAGTTGTCGCCATTTTCAAGTACAGGCTCAGATCAGGATGCCCTTTGATTTTTTTGCTGGAAAGCACATGTTGCTGAATCACGTGTGGCATCAAGGTCTCGCGTTGAAGATCGCAGCCACGACCAGACGCATGCTGAATGAAATCAAGTTTCATCTAAAGGGCACTTGATTGTGTCTAGGACCCTAGGACTTCTCCCCAACACGGGACCTGCTTTGTGCCGGCTCGGGCTGAAAGGGGATGATGGCCGCAGTTGGACAGGCCTGTGCTCACTGTTGTTCATGCCAGAGGCGTGTGGAAAGGAAGCATGTGGTTTGTAGGCGCGAGCCCGTTGAATGGTTAATGCTTGCGGAGCTCTTGGATGGTTGAGCCATGATGGGAGCTCTTCGACAATCTCCTCAAGGAGCCCGTCTGAACGCTAGGTTGCCAGAGTCAGCGCAGCCTACGTGTGAATCTATGCAGGAGTTGGTCGCTGACTCCGTTTTCCAGGGCACTTCGCTGCTTCTTCTGGCTCTGGCTGTGCTGTGCCTTGCCCCACACCGAACAAGGAGAGCAGCACTGCGCATTGCCAGTCTCAGCCGGCGCACAGGTGCCGCGGGCTCTGAGAGCGACCTCGAAAACAGCGGTCGGAAGCTACTCCATCGGCAGAAGTTCCTTGCGGGGCAGCTCCCAGGCTCAAGAACTCTGTGGCTTTGGCAAGTTCCTGGTCTGGTAAAGCAGCCAAGGTTTCACCACCTGGGCGCTCCAACCTTGGCCGGGCTCGATGATTCGATCTACCGATCTGGGCGATTGCGCCTCTTGGCAAATCCAGGCTGCAAACCTGGGTTCGTGTTTTGTGTGTTGAGGTTTCCGACCTATTGGTTCAACGTGTGGCGAGTCTGGGTCCAGCACCATGGATTCAGCGGTCCAGCCCCCCTGCGTGGGCAACATCTGCAACGGCCCTGTGAGTCGTGTCGGGGATTTGGCTGTTTGGGAGGATGTCCGAGTAGTGCGAGTTGGAGTCTACCAGCTCTGCTGGTGCAGGCCCACTCTAAACTGCCAGCAGCTCAACACTTGCTGTCGTGAGGATGCCGCCTTTGGGGAGGCTGCAGGAGAGGTGGAAGTTGTTGGCCCAGCCTGGATCACGGTGTCACCTGTTTTGGGGCAGGGCTTTCGCTTTGAGCTTGTGCACCCAGAAGCCCTACCGGGTGCCCAAGTCCTGCTACGACTTAGAGATCAGGGTGGTGCCTGTGGTCTTCCACGCGGCGCAGCAGAGCTTCGGGCCTCAGTCCTCCGCGTTCAATCAGGAGTTGAAGACGAGGAGCTCCCTTTGGGGACGCCGATCGATCAAGCCACGAGCCTCAACATGACTGGAGAGTTCTCGGATCTTTATGTTGCATACTTGTATAGGCATTTGGCTTACTCTGTGTGCTGGTGTGCACAGTACTGTTTCAAGCCGGAAGATGGCAGTATCAACGAAGACATGTTCGGGGCCGTGGTGGGTGAGTTTTTTCCGAGAGGTCCCGACACTGAGAACATGGCTCCGCAGTATGCTGTGGCTGGAGTCTCTTTTGCACTTTATGTGCAAGGAGACCGCTTGTCCGTGAAGGACCGGATCCTCGTACCGGAAAGCAGCACCTTGTGCGGCGATCCCGATACGGCACATGCTGTGGCATTCCGGTCCTACATCTGTGGGCGAGGTTCAAGTTCCTGTCTAGCGACGCCAGCCAACGGGCCGCCGACGTCCTTCGAGGACATGGCAGAGATGGTAGGGGAGGCAGGGCTCAGTTTTCAAAGAGGGGGATGGGAACCTGTGCAGATTGACACCCCTGGCACCTACCGTATCTGCTGGTGCGTGGATGACACGTGGGACCCGGTCAAGCTTGAGAGCCATGGCTACTGCGGCTCAGGATTTCAGTATGGAGTCGAGGCTGGCCTGGTCATCGTTCAGGGAGCGGTGGGAGACCAGAACTTCCCGTGCACAGCTTTCCGGCCTTGCCACTTCGAAGTATTCTCTGAGCTGCCCTTTGATGCTGAAGATCAAATTCTGTTCCTTGCACGAGCATACAGCGTGTTTCAATAAGGACATCTTGAGAACCAGGCTCTACCTCAACTAAAACACCTGAGCAGAATTGAGCAATCTCAGAGAGGTACTAGCTAGATCATGCTGGGCATGCCTTGGTCGGTTTTGGCATGTTAGGTAGCCAGGCAGAGCATGCCTGACTCAGCACTAATTCCCTTTTGTTTGCAGAGCTGATTATATATTCTCCGGGCGCGCTCGACTGATACAGTACCCCTGTACAAATCCTTCTGAAAGGCAGAGGCAGAGAGTTCAAGTGATCAAGTGATGCGGTAGAGTCCTGGAATTCCTTGAAGAGATTTCCAGCTTTCTTGACCGAAACAGTGCATAACTTGAGCCTCTGCTCCCCCTCCCCCTGCATATTGTAGGCTGCCTGCATGGACGGGCCGCAAGGCATCACACACGCAGTACTCCAAACATTTGCTGTGGATTCTAAGCCCCGAGCCCCAAATGAGAAATGCAAATAACTCCCTCCTTGGGGGGGTTTTTTGAAAGCGAGATGGGCGTAAACGTCTCATCCTTGTCATTCAGGATCGTTGCTCCACCCCCCACTGCGACCAACTCGCTGGCCACAATCTGCGGGCGCGGAACCACTGGCATGCAGGAGCGGGGGAGCGGGCAGCTGCTGGTACTCCTTTCCTTGACATGACAAGCCCTGGGCAGGTTCGAGTCTCTGGATCCTATGCGGTCTACCCAAGCACGACGACAGTACTGAGTGAAGAGGAAAACACCACGACACCAGCACCCCTGGAGCCGATGTACTACGTTGGTAGCTTTGAGCTGGACTCCTCTGGACAAGCCGGTCTCTACAGGGTCTGCTACTGTGCCTGGGCATAAGCAGAAATCAGGTTAACCCATTCCTAATGACCCCTGAGAAGAGATTTCGAGTTAGCAAGAAAGTTAAGGCAAGAATTCAGTGATGGGCCCGTGTGATGATGCTGTTGCCTTTGCCCAGTATGCCGGCATTGTGACGCTTGTCTTAACTTGGCGGGTTTGTTCCTAGTAGGAGATGCTGCAAGAGATAGGCACATGGCGAAGCAAGCGATCGATGTCGCACCCGGGGCCTTTCATCTTCAGTCTCTGGGATGCTGAGGAACATCACAGGCGAGATTGAGTTTGATGAGACAACTGCGCTGCATCAAGACTGCTTGGCCTCGAGCCCCTGCAAATTCAATGTTACCGGAGCCATTCGACTGAATCAGCTTTGTCTCTTCCAAAAGAAACTGTTCGTTTGCAGTTGAGGTTTGGGCAATGCAGCTCAGCTTCTACGATTCCTTCAATGCTGTTCCGTTGGATAAAGAATGTGGTGAGGTGCCTTGACTGAAAGGACTATCGTAACTCCTGCTGTTGATGCTGGTGGCCTCACATGTTGCCGAGGTGATGGATTCCTCCAGTTATCCGAAATTCAGTTTGTTCCGCAGGACGCAAGTGCTGTTGCCGGTTTGTTGTGCTGAAGCTCTTGTGGTCGCAGTCCCAAAGCGGAGAAGCCATCAGAAGTTTGCATGTTTGCAGGATGGAGCTTGTTGACTCGTGGGCTAGCGAGTTCGCGCACAAGGCTGGCAATGCAGATTTGCCTTCCAGCTGAGGATGTTGAAAGGCTTGCGCTTAACAGCCTGCGCAGGTCGGAGCTGAGACGTTGTATGGCAGTGGTGACTACCGGCTTTGCTATTGCTGCTCGTCACAGCATGCAGACGTGTGTCGACATGTGACGTTGGCCAGCGGCCCATGGAAACATCGCGGCAACCGAGGTCAAGCTTCCCTGACAGGTGATGGACGGTGTGACACATCCGTTCCTCGGCTGATCCCCCAACCCGTTTCTCAGCCTCACATGCAGCTGGGTTCAGGCAGAACACCTCCACGAGATTGGGAGCCTTTTCCTGGTCGGAGCATTGCTACTTGAAGTAAAACCCACCTTTGTCCTTCACCATGCACTGTTGTTTTTCTCGCGCTGAGGTCAACCATGAAATGGTCTTGCCGACAGGGTGCCATGTGTGACATTGTGGCTGGGTGCTTGGGCAGGCCCCAGCGGATCTTGGTCTGGTTTTGCAGCCGCCGTGATACAAAGGTCCACGGCTGGCGAGTTGGACGAGGTGATGCAGTGCGGCTGGTCCCACTTTCCTTCTCCTGCGGAGATCCGGATCCGCACAATGCTTTCCTTGGTGCAGGCAGGCACGCAATCCAATGTCTGTCTAGACTACCTCAGAATGATCATTTGCAAAGGCTTCGACAATAACCCAGCGGTGACTAATCGCACGGACAACCTCACAAAGGGGGTGCCTGAGCCTGCTGAAGCTTCACATGGTGCCGGTAGCCGCAGCTCTTCGGGAGCCAGGTGCTCCTCCACTTCAATCTTGGCCGCTCACGTGGCTCTGGGACATGGCGAGTATGCCTCTGACAGCACCTGAGCTCTCTGGAAATTTGATTCGTCGTTGAAAGCTGCCTGCCCCAGGCGTGGCAGCGGTCGCCAGGAGCGGTGCCGGCTGTGCTTACGCCGCAGATTATGGGCAGCCGGCTGCACACTCAGACTCATGTGGGGCATCACTTGTTGCTCATACCTCTTTCCTGGCTCAGGTAGGAGAGCTGATAATCGAAGGCCTGCTACGATCAGTTCTTGTGCGACCAGGTTGCAGCAAGCCGTACGCGCAGATACGGAGGATGAGTGGATAATGTTGCAGACAGAAAAGTTGTGCAATATGACAAGCGCCAGATTTTCCTACACATCCTCAGTAGTCAGCCTGCTGTGGAGGTGCCCGCTAGTGACAGAAACCCCTCACCGCCCACAAAGACCTTCCAGCTGTTTCACGACCTTCCTCACCAAGAGGAAGCGTAGTGCCCAATGATTCCATGCGCCCGCTCAGGTCCTCACAGCCGGCCACGGTGGCCATTGCGTCAATCCTGGTGCGCTGGGGAAGCACCAATGAGCTTTGTGAGAAGGGATGCATATCGACGCCTTATGCCTGTCAAGCATTGGTCTTCACGTCTGGCCTGCTTTAGAAGATTTTTTTCAGAAGCCTTCCAGGTGGAGGTCATTGTTCCGGGTGGCCCGCAGAGTGTGGCAAGCTAAGTCGCACAGAGAGAGAACAAAGGGCTCGTCGTCTCTCCTTCGGAAGCCGGGCGGAGCACACCAAGGTGGCGTGCGCAGCTTCGAACCAGACCCTTGACCAGGCTATGAGCTCCCTGTAGACCATCATTTTTCATGTAAGGTCACTGCTTCCAGAGTGATTGGAAGTAGCAATCTAAGATCCTTGAAGGCTCCCTCCAGCTTTGCAATCCTGAATTGCAAGAGCAGTATACCGGGCTGCCTGGGTATGGCGATCCTCCCATGGCAAGCAGAAGAGGCCTGGGACAGTCCTGGGACACAATTTCCCAAACTGCCGAACTAGTGCGTCTTGTGAGTAGCTATGGAAAGTTGTGTTCCTGCCCAGGGTTTCAATGTGCTGCACTTGCCCTTTCCTGGAAATGCTCAAGCAGCCCAAGGAGCGGTCTCACTACTAACGCCTGCAGTCACTTGTCCACCGCTCCGAATCTCTCAGGATCTGCTGCGCGGGCTGCACATGTCTGGTGCACCGGGGTTTGTGGCTGAGATTCAGGATATTGTTGCCTCAAATTCGCAGCAAAAGCACCAGCAAGGATATTGCATTGTGTCCGACGGGACGGTGTGTCCTTCCACCAACTCCTGAAGGGCTTCAACCTCAACTTGCAGCCACATGCAGGGCCGTTCTGGGGCCGTCATGTGACAGGCGCAGGATTGCTCTTGATCCTGGACCGGACCCATGGACGACTGTGCCAGCCACCATCCACCAACCGCTGGATTTGAAGGTCGGAACTGTCAAGCCTGAGAGTCTGAGCGCTTGAGCCCAGAGCAAAGAGCACCTCACCAGGTCCACGGAAATCCGCTGAATGCGAACGCCGCAGTCTTGGGATGTTGAACGCGCCAAGCAAAGAACGTCTGACAAGCAGCCTAGGGTGGCCATCTCAAGATCGTGTGGCCCCGAGATGGGTGCCCAGAGGCCGGAGGTGACAAGGAGGTCTCTGAGTTGGCTCTCCGTCTACGTCTTCAGGTAGGTCATCCATGGTCAGATGCCATTGTCTCTCCGTTTGACATGGGGTGAGAGCCCCGGAGCTGCAAAACACCTCGCTTCCGTGTTGGCCATTGAGCACTGAGATGAAGTTTGCAGAGTCAGGCATAGACAGTTCCGGGCTTGGAGGTTACATGCGAATGCCTCTGCAGGCGTCCCTTGAGTGCCGCGCCACGACAGTGGGTGCATTGGAGACGGGAGTCCCTTCCTTTTGCAGGGACGTGGATGCCTCAGCGTGAGGGACTGTTGATTTGGTGGGCTCAGGCTGTGAGGTCACGAAAGCTAGCGTCAGCAGTAGCATTGGAGACAAGATCCGGAAAGCAGGGAACGGTTGATTCTGTTGAGGATGACAAGGGGGGGGCAGGGGGGGGCAGATCGATGTATTCACAGGAATCTGAGTTTTTTTGAGATGTTTTAAGGCGGGAGAGGGGGGGTGGCCTGCCTACTAGCCCACTACATTTGCCTTGCCATGGTACGCAACACATCACGCCTAGTGATGGCATCAATCCTCCCTACTGCTACCGTTAGTCATGGTGAGAGTATCAGCATGCTCGATTGTTGCATCACACCTTCCCACTCCCCTGTCACGTGTTCCGAACCGTAGCATGGCCATGGATCGAATAGCATCATGCTTGCATCAAGCCTACCCCATCTTGCTCTGGTGTTTGCTACCCTGTTGTCAAGCCTTGGTACTCATACTACATCTTCGCTTCCGGTGGTTGCTCGATGGGGCACCTCTCCTCTTGTGCACCTTGCGTGGTCATGGTACAGACGGCATCATGCTGGTTTTTGCATCAAATTCACTGCCCTCACGTGATTATTATGCGAATGACATCATGCTTGGTTGTTGCCTTAATCATACTTCCTCTTTTTCCTCAAGTCGGGTTGCGTCGTGTACAAATCAACCAACCTGATCCGTTCTGTGAAGCCTACTTCCAGTGCGGACTGCGGTTGCACTGCTTTTCAAGAGCTGACCAGGTTCTGGCTATGTTGGCCCGCGCTGCCTGTTTGGCAAGGGACCGTATCTAAATGGTGAAGGTCTTCTGGGTCAAAACTGTGGAAAGGACGCCTTGCTACATTGCAGGTGTGACCGATCCTATGGAGCGGACTGTGTGCTGTGGCAGCACATAGGCGAGCTGGTCATTGCAGGCCCAGCGAATGCCGCGACCCCAAGATTTTTGCCTTTTGGCTTGATGTTCTTGAGCTGAAGTGCCTGCCTGTGTTCAACGCCACATTCTAAGCCAGCATTGCCAGCGCGAGCTTCATTGAGACCAGGTGACAGGGATCCCGGAGTTTGTGGAGTTGCGGGAGGCTACACCTCACAGCTGTGCTTTGAAGTACGCTTTGCGAAGAGCTCTGGGTCAGAGTTGTTTCATTTTTTGTCCTGATACCACCAGCACAGATCTGTTCTTTGTAACCTGCTGTCATCCTCAAGTGGGCGCTGCATCTTCTGGATGTCTTCTACAATCAAAGCCAGGTCTTCAATGTCACCCTCTTCGGTGTGAACCTTTCCCAGGAGGCTTTGGTATGCCGTCCCCCTTCTTAGGCTGCGATGTTTTGTTGAGAGCAGGAGCGGCTGTCAGTGCAGCCGGGGCAGAACTGTGATCAAGACATGGAGCTCTTCAGTCCCGGATGGGTTGGCGTCTCGATAGGCCGAAGTTCTCAGGTCTCACAGCTGCCACGGCTCACAGCCGAGGTTGATGCTAACGGCTCGAAGGCAGACTTTGAGGTTCAAGCTCCGTACTTTGCCGGTTACTTCTCCATGTGCTGGACGCGAGGCTTGTTTGTGCCGGATTGTAGGTTCGTAGCAGTCATGTTGCTTTGTCGCAGGCAATGCTTCCATGGGTTCTATGAAGCTGGCCAGCGGCTTTGCCAGAGAGCTGTCAGCTCAGCTTGTGGTTTGTGCCCAGCTGTGATGTCTCTGATGTCATTTGCAGGGAATGTCCGAAGCCGATGCCAAGGTCAAGAGACTGCGTCTTGAGAGGCCAGGCAACGATTTGGGCCAGAGCTGATCTTTTGAGTCAGCGCAGTTTTAGCCGAGAGCCGGAAAGCAATCGGGCACAGAGCACCTTTTTGGTCTGGAAGTTCAGAATTCGCATTCTTTTGCATATGATTTGGAGAGTCTTTTCCTTTTTACTTCTGGCCTCTGAGCTCGAGACAGGCTGGGAGGCTTCGCCAGCGGACGAAGTCTTCAGATTCCCCGCAGGCCTGGCTTGGGCCAAACTGAGACGCAACGCAATATGGCTTAGCCGCCGAGAAGAGCCGGTGAGTTGGGAGGTGACTCTGGGGAGTTTGCTTGCAGCCGGGCATGCGGGGGTGGGCTCTACCAGCTCCACCGCCGCATTGTTGCCGAGGTGTGGGAGATTTCAGGTTGTCTGCAAATGGATCAGCCTTTAAGATTGATGGAGCTGCGCTTTGTCTCAGGCTGTTGGGGGCGGTGCCCAGTGCCCTCCGCCAGGAGCTTGGACGCAGCATTCAGCAATTGTTTACGTGACGTGGTTTATTCAGGGGACAAGGTTGGAGTAGCTACCTTTGAGAGGAGCTGGCAGTTTCAGGTCGGATAGCCCACTCCGAAGTCGGTTCATGTCATGCAACGAGCAGCCCTGCCCAACTGCCTGCACCTCGAATGCTTTGAAACCAGAAGATGCTCGCTGCACGCAGATGCTAGCCAGGGCGAAGTGTTCAGAGCACACACGCACCCCTCGTGGGTGAAGCCTGGCGACGTGTTCCAGGCCTGTGCTAGACTGCGGGTAGTGCTTGCAGGCTCTTTGTATTGTGTCTGCTTGACAGATCTTGGTCGAGGGAGCTCAGCTTGACCCAGCGGAGGCAGACCTTTGCCGCATGTCATGAGGGTGTGCTGCAAGTTAATGTCTGTCCAGACGGCGGGGCATCCTTTCCCTTGACGGCCTGGTGTGAGTGCCCTCGTATGTCCTGCTAATCATCCCGAACCGGTACCCTGTGTCCCTTACTTTAATCGCCGATCCTTCTGTTGCACGAATTCATGAATTTGGGCCATGCAAAAGAATCGCTGGTGCCAGTAATGTTGTAATCTCCCGTCATGCTCTGGGTTCAGCAATTTTGCAGGACCGAGTCGTCCTAGTGGTGGGGGGAGAAGATGCCGAGTGCGGCAAGGCTTGGATCACCTGCAGTCGCATGACAGCTCGCGAGTCTTGCTATCGCAAGCTTCACGTTGCGTGTCGCTGACAGTATTCTGTGAGACTGTTTTTATCCTACAGTTATGGTACGTCATACGAGATTTTCTCAACATGATTTGTCAATAATCCTATCCTCATTCCGCACAGGTAGAGTCCAACGCCCTCCAACTTCAAGGCCGGAGCTGTTGGAATATCAAAAGCATTTGCAGCCGCAGCAGTAGTGATGTTTATTCAAATGGTGGAAGCAATCCATTGGTTTTGTAACAGCCAATGCCAGTAAACACCTTCTAGCGTCATAACATGGTACAGAATTCGCTAGTGCAACATCTAGGATTTCGACTTGAAATCTTGCAGGTGCAGCAAATTCCTCCGGGTCAGCAACTGAAACTCACGAATGCTTTAACAAACTGTCACGATATGCAGTGTAGCTTAGTTGGCGCCTGGTCGCATAAGGAATGGCACGGACGCTGTTGCGGTTGAGCTGACGCATGTTTTACGTGGTGGAGGTTGCTAGTTGCAAGTATGAGCTGAGCTTCCAGATCCTTTCTAGTGGCAACATCTGTGAGCAGGGGCATCGTGCTTGCGCCCGGCCAGCAACAGCACCCATTTGGAGTGTCTGGATTGCAAAGGGGATCAGCAGCGGTTGACCGAGCGACTCCTGCCCTGAATGTGCTCCGTGCACAGATGCGGCGATGGCGTTGCCAGCTTGATGGTTCCTCTTCCCGGCACCTTCCGTTCCTTGGCTGCTGTGCGCCTTTTTTCGACGCAATCAGGAGCCTCTTGTCACTGCGACAAGGTCTCTGCATTTGCGACGCCTCTGAAGTCGATCCTGGCTTCGACAACGTGTCAGGTGCATCAAGCGTAAAGCGCATGAAAGTATATGCAAGCCCGGCCTTGTTGCTGCAGGTTCCCTTGTTGCACAAAGGGAGCGGTGCAGCCGGCTTGAAGACTACTGGCTAACCCCCAGCTCCTTGGCCTCTGGCAGGGGCTTCCAAGAAAGTTCAACCTGGACCATGAAGTTGAGGCAACGGCTCTTTGGTGGAAATCACAGAGTCCCAGACGGTGGTGGAGGATGCCGTGCGGCTGCGTGCTTGAGGCGTTGAGTCTGATCTGGAGCAAGACTTAAAGGAGCCCGGTCGCGGTGTGGATGCTGCCTTGGGAGACCTACTAGATGACCACAAGAACGGGAGGCGGAGTCTAGCATGCTGCAACATGCTGCAGCATGCTAGGTGGCAGGCCATTGAGGGGTGCATCACCTTGTGCTGGCCGACAGGGCAGACTTGGTCTTCATCGTGGGCCTGATTGCGGCGTCCATTCTGTGCGGTCCCTGTGGAGACTGCTACCTCACCCTGTTGACTTGTAACTAACGGTCAACGCTGATGAGGTACTGTCTGGCCATATTCTGTGCTTGCTGGTTCTGGAGATACAGGTGGATACTGCAAAGAGGAGACAAGGGCTTAAGGAAGGGTATTGTTGGTTCTTGCCAGGTGGCGCAAGCGGGCCGCATGGAGAAGGTCCTGGCGCACTTGGGGATGTCTCAGAAAAGGGGAAGTCTCATTTTCCTCAGGCTTGGCTCCGGCCTGTTCGCGAATTCTTTGGTGGCTTGCCTGCAGTCAATCACACAAAGTGGCAGCGTAGCTTGGGCATCTCAGGTGGCCAAGGCAACCAGGGCTGCATGGGAGGCCTGGATAGCTGTTCAATCACTCAGGGTTGCCCTCTCACATTTCAGCTATCTAGGAAGCTGGCTGCAGTGACATGGAGGATATCTGGAGACTTGACTTGACAAGGCCTACACACGCACGATCACAGAGCAGGCCCAGATATCGTAACCTAGCTGCAGCGCAATGCGCCATGGAGTTGTGTGGCATGGCACCCATCACTGCCCATCACTTGAAGGCTTGCAGGATAGGATGGTTCCAAGAGGGAAACTCAGAACGCAGAAGGTCTGGCGTCGAAGAGACGGAGCTGAAAGAGGTCTCGGGTGAGAATGCTGAGCAGGATACCGGCGATCCTATGAAGGTGCAACCTGCGGGTGACAGCTTGCGAGTGCGTGTAACACAAATCCTTAAACGTGCGACTCAGTTTTGCAAGTGCCCTTGAATTTTTTGAACCTCAGGATATTGGCAGATATTCGGGAGTGGGACGCAAAACAGCCTAACAGCAGCCTTAGCTGTCAAGGGGCCAATCCAAAACTATATGCCCGACTGGTTTGGTGCCTACGTAGCAGGGCGTTGCAGCCTTTTGGCAACCATCTCTGTTCTTGGATTTCTACCTGCCAAAGTTGAGCACCTGGCTGCAAGGGCACGTTGACACCTCCCGGAACCGGCTATTCGCTGAAGAGCGGATCTTCACTGTACAGTGCCTCCACGAGCAGCACGCGCTCCACCACACCAGGCGCCCGCATCAAGATCATTGGGCCTGCTTGTGTTTTGCAGGGAATGGGCAAATTGGTGTGTGCGGATTTTAGGGGCCATTGAAGGGGATCCCGTCCTTCATTTCCTGCTAACCACAAGTAAGGAGTGGGGCCGCTGTTGCCATGTTGACTAGTTGCTTCCAAGGCTGCATGTATGCTTGTGCTTGAACCGTGGGAAACCGAAAGTGCAGTGAGGGCAGCAATACTGACATGCCGCAGGAAATCATCCCTCCTTGCTGAAGGCCTCAGTCTCAGGAAGCACGAAGGATGGATTTCAAGCTTGTCACATTCTTGACTTTTGTGATCTCTGCACGACGAGGTGGCGCTGAACAGGGACGGGTGGTTGCTTTTTGTCTGATTGTTCTGAGAATCTCTGGATGCCTGCATGCCACACAACGATTCCATGTCAGCACGAGTTGACAGGACCCCAGCTGTCCTTTCTCGCCCAAGCAGGTGGGCAACATGAATTCAAACTTTGCGACAGCAAAGCTGCGCCGCTGCGGCCTGGGCCAGGCGGGTGGCTCCTTCCTGGATCTGCCCCTCGCAGGGCGAGGCTTCTGAAAGCTTTGCAAGTGGACATTCATCGTCTCCAAAGGGCATGGCCTAAGGCAGCAGACCGGGCACCAGCCCCTCCCGACCCAACTCCGGGGCCACAACGCTGCGGGTTGTGGAGGAGTCGCTCAGCTCTGGCCTTGGCCCTTGTTTTCATGTTCTGAGTCATGCCTCCCTACTTTGGAAGAGAGCACTGAGCACTGCTAGTGGAGCAGATGCGGAGCTCAGGCGCCAGTGTGAAGCAGGCCTTGACGAAACAAGCAAGAGTATTCTATAAGTTTGCGCTGATCAAGATTCCTGGCGCGCGCGAAGGAGACGCCGCCTCGAAGCCCTTCTGGTCCCTTGCCAGCACGGTCTGTGTTTCTTTTTCTGCTTGCTAACTAGATCAGGTTGCAGTGCATCAAGTCTGCAAACCCCAAACATGAATTTCCCGCCACGGAAGATTCAACCTGGATGAGCGCTTTTCTGAAATTCTGTGTTGCGAGCAAGCTCCAGGTGAGAGAACGCCTCCGGACGCAGAGGACGCAGCAGAGATTCCGCGATAATTGCAGCATCTGCACTTTGAAAGATCCTTGACGCAGCGATCCAGGTTTCTGTATACAATCCTGACATTCCCGAGCCCAACTTGGCTTGCTCGTGAGAGGAGGCCTCCCCACCAAGCGCTCCCTCGAGGCCATCAGATCTTTTCCACCCAGTTGGCAGTTTCAAATCATTGCTAAACATGTAGGATCCTGAAGTCCAGAAGCCCTGACTTAAACTGAGGCGTAGGGAGCTTCAAGTCCTGGCGACTGCACGCGAAACCCTCTCGCCTGATACGGCAAGGACGCTGGAGTTGCAGTTGCCAGGGTTGGAGAAGAAGCTTGCGAAGCTGAAGCGTCTCAAAGAGGACAGGCTATTTTCTGGGACTTTGATCTTATGTTTGGCGCATTCGGCTTGGCGGTTATCATTTGAAGTTGAGGGTTTGCCGCTGATGCAGTGAGCTGCATTAGTCAACTTCTAGTTGCGGTTGCTGCTTCGGAACTGTGACCTGTGAACGTAAATACAGCTAGAGACGGGAGCGATTGTGAGGACAGCTTTTGCAGACACTCTTCGTTCTTTCGAGGAATATTCAGAAAGCTCATCCTCATCTGATGCAAGTCCTCAGCGGGAGGCCCTCCAAACAATGATCCTTCAGACTGGAGCATTCAAGCATGTTGATGCATCGTTGTTGCAGGCTCCCACGAAGGGCTTGGTCCCGGTTCCACCAAGCATGGCACCACCAACTTTGCCAGGCTTGCTGGTGCTGTTCAAGTCCTTCCGGACGTGTTCACCATTTGTCTTGTGCAAGCCATGAAATCACAAAGTCCTTTATGGAGCGAAGGCCAGCTCGCTGGTGCTTCAGAGCTTTCCGAGCGACCAAAGACGGCGCCAGAGGCATTTGGTCGGACAGCAAGAGATGTTCAAGCTGCGAAGAGTTTGGCTTTCCAGGCTACCAAAGATGCTCCTCGCGAGTCTCCAAGGCCATCAGAGGCGATCAGCACAGCCTGAGCCACCCCGTGACATGCTGCGGCTTTCCCGCTTGTCCTAGGTACCTGCAGCCCCAGTTAAACAAGTGCCCTCGTCCAGCGCTTACGCAGCAACGATTGGTGCAGGGGGCATGATGGTGTGCTGTTGAGGCTGGCTATGCTGAAGCAACTGCCACCACCTCCGCCGCCAGGGCTCAAGTTGACCAGGAAGTTGCAGGCGGACCCAAAGATCCTTCCTGACCTGACCTCTGTGCTTGATCCTTTCTTTGAAATGCACCCATGCTTTTATGTGTAAGGCACAAAGTTAGCTTTTGTTGGTGGCTCCTGTGGAAAGCAAGGCAGCGCCAGTGGAGGCGCCACAGCCTCCTGAAGCTGTGGAGGAGCCGGCCCCCAACGAGGCTTCAGTACCGGAGGCGGTGCTCGAGATCCTGCCCGAGGTTCAGACACCCATGGAGGCGCACAGATTCATTGATGTGCTGAATGACTGCAGCTTCTAAGCCTAAGCGCCAGGTGGAGCCCACGAAGCCAGAGCAGCTTCCTTCGGTGCAGGAGGTGGCTGAGCTGGAGGAGCCAGAGGTTGTACCGGCTGTGGCCAAGGATCCGGAGATCCAGGTTCCAGAGCCAGCGAAGGAGGACCAGGAGGAACAGGCCACTGAGGAGCCCAAGAAGGCCGGTGACATGCGAACAAATTCCACTTAACGGAAATTGTGATCCCAAGGACGAGTCCCCCAGCTCGCAGCCTAAGCTGTCATCCTGGCTCACAGACATGAGGCCGGAAATGCCCTCCACTTGGCAGCTCAAGGAATTGCTTCCGCAGCTGATGCATGGCTTTTAGTGTTTCTCTGTGTTATGGGCCAGGATAGACCAGATCACTATGCGACATTCTCATGCCGATATGCTGCATTTGGTGCAGGTCTCGCGTGGCCAACAAGCAGACAGCCGAACAGGGCGAAACCAAGGCAGCACCAAGCGATCCAATGAAGCCATGTGTTTAAAATTTTAGCAGCTTCATTTCGCATTGCGGCTCCTCCACAAGGCGCCCAAGGCGCCACCTTCCAAGTTTGCCGCCTCAGCCTGTGTTCGCTTCTGTGAATGCCGTGCAGGTCCCGTGTTCCCAAGTGCTTGAACCCGAGAATGTGCCAGGCGCCATCCTCTGGCTTGCGCTCGCAGAGGCCAGAGGTTCTGCTGATGGCATCTCACAAGCAAACGTTGTGTCACAGGCTCACCAAGCGACCGGAAGTGTCAAAACCCGAGGCCATGAGAATCTGTGCTGTGCTTTTGTGGCATGCAGTGCACATGTTTCAGAACACGGAGAGGTAGGCAGTGGCGCAGCTGGAGCACCGCAGATGTTCTCAATGCCAGGAGGAGCCCAAGCCACCAGAAGTGCAACAGGTGGAGCAGGAAGAGCATCCAAAAATTCAGAGGCGTGCGGTCTCAGTGCGTGTTCAGTAGGTAAAGCCTTAGAGGGTCACATCAGCATCCATGCGTCTTCTGCGTCTACGGCTAGGCACACGTGCACTCTAGACACATAGGCGCCCCTGAGCCACTGACTGCCTGGCAGGTGCCACTCCTCCGAGAGCCGGCAGCTGGAAGGACCCCTTTGTCTCTCTCTCTCTTCTCTGTCTCCGTCTTGTTCTCTGTCTCCATGCTCTGCTCAACTATAATGCCATAAGATGCTTTGTTCACAGGACCTTCAAAGTCTCGAGAGTCGATGGTCTCCGAGAGAGCCTCCGAAGGCAAGCCTCCCCAACACGATGCTTGTGATATTTCTGGTACACGAGACTTTACATACAGGATGAGCCTAGATGATACTTTTTGAGGGCATCTCTCCACATGCAACGGAAGCTTGTCAAAACCTCTTTGTCGGGAGCGATGGCGCCGCTGCGTGCAGATATGTGGTACAGCCATCCTGAATCATGATTTCTGTGGTTTTTGACGGCTTGTGTGCTATCAGATGAAATCAGCTTGCTTTGCCACACATAGGCCACGAAAGTGCTTCAACTTTCCAGCCTCAGCTTCAGTACATGGATGCAGTACATGGATGTCGGATTGGTTCAAATCACTTGGAGTATCTCCGTTTCAGAGCACAGGACACTTTCAGTGCCAGGCAGTGGTGAGCTTGCCGTGGTGGAGAAGACATCAGAGGCGCGTGGCTGTCTTGATTAGCCAAGAGTTGATTGTGCAAGGACCTCCGTAAGGATCTCTGTTTTTCTTTATGCCAGCCATCTGGAACTCCGAAGCGAACTTCTATCAGTTGACATCAGTTGACCGAGTCCAGGCACCCAGCCAGAGCTCAGAGGCGCCTCTGCCGCCGGAGATTGTCCCGAAGTCCGAGCCTCTCGTTCTTCCTGCACGGGTACGCATGGAGTCGATAGGTAAAGCATCTTCAGCCGTTGTGGATGGACTTGTCTCGGGGATTTGTGTTTGACGAAGCTTGCGAATGCAAAATGAAAAGTTCGACCGGCCCTCCATGTCCAGAACATTGTTTCACTTTAGTTTCCTTCGGACTTCCAGCGCTGGTGGGAGGTAAGCAGAGGGAAGGTCATGGAAGTAGCTTCGTATGCGCATGGCATGCAGATCTGGCTTCCAGCACGTTGATGGCACGAAGCAAATCTGCAGCAATGACTAAGTGCAGCAACCCACTGCATGAGGATGCCTGTGCGGCAGAATTACACGTAGTGTGTAGACTCTAGCTACAAGGCACGCCTGCCTGAGGGGCAGAGCCATGTCAGGCAGCAAAAGGTAACAGCTTCCTTGCCACACGCTGTGGCCAGACATCACCATGATCTCCAAGCTCCTCGGTGAGTTTTGCCCCATTTTACACATGAGTCCCTTTCATGCAAAGCTCAAAGACACTTTCAGAGCTGATCAGGCTCATGGGCGGATTATCTCGGAGACTGGGTCGCAAAGAGGAAGTGTTGGCTGCTACGGTCGCAGCTGACGTGTGAAGCCTCGCGAAGCCATGTTTCAGAGCGTCCAAGGTACGAACATGCCTTGTTGTTGCAAAGCACTTGACATGCATTTAACGATGCGCGAACATTTTCTCAGTAGTATGCTGAGCTCTCGACATGCTCTGCAAGTCCGAGGAAGCCAAAGAAGCCCGAGACCTCAGTCACGGCACAGTCATCTTCCCAGCCTGTCACGGCTGTGATCCTGGATGATGCCCACGAAGATTTTGCAGACGGACGTATTCTGAATGTTGGGCAGGTCCAAGCCTCAGAAATCCGGCCCATCTGGGCCTCTCGGGCCTACCGAAGAAAGCCGAAGCTCCTGCATTCCTGCTTGCGCGATCTGCTTTCTCTAAAAGTCCAGAGTGATGCATCCCATGAGGATGGCGTGTCCGGCCCCCAGATGGGCTGAGCTTCGCCCAATACAAGAACAGAGCAATGCAATTTTTTGCTTTCCGGGTTGATCAGCGGTGACTTCAGGCTGGATTTAGGAGAACAGGATACTCGGCAGCAGGGCGCAGGGCATACATAGACGAGCTAATGCGAGCTGCGTGTTCCGCCACACGCCTCCTAGGATCACATCTGTGGCGTCGACGAGGCTGTCATCCAGGGCCTTCCGACCTTGGTCTTTGAATCTGCTGAGCGCCGCGGCTTCTTTCAGAAACGAAATTTGAAAGGCCTGCTCAGCTGTATGGCTATCAGACACGTGAGCCACGTGTGACGAGGCTACTTAAACTGCCAATGGTCAATGAGTGCATCTTCTAGACCAGACCTATCTGAGGAAAGCTCGTGGCCAAGCTTCATGTCCGATCTGCCAGGCGGCTATGCATTTGTCCTCATGCGTAGGCTTCCAGTCCCAGCGCCTCCAACCTTTTCTAGTGTACCGTACCAGTGTACGTTTTTGATTTTGGAAGTTTGAAAGGAGGCCTTCGTGATCAAGGATCCACTGAAGGCCTTATCCTGCGATCACGTCTTTCATCAAGGCAGCTCAAATTGCAAGGGGTTAGAGCTGCGTTGTGCAAGCAGCACTCCTCAAAGGCTTTTTCCTGAGGGTCAGGAGATGTGAGAAGGGTGTTCAGCTGAGGCTGCTTGGAAAAGTGGCTCGCAGTGAGCAATCAGTGCCCCATTTGCCAATCCGCTGTGCAATGACCACTTTTTCAGGCCAGGAGGTCTGGAATGAAGCCGGGGCTTGTACAGGAGCTCGCATTCCTGCACCTGCATCTGCAACAGCTGGCCGTGGCAACGAAGCTGCGCAGCTTTCAGGACACATGCATTCGGCCTGGACAAGATGAGATCTAGCATTCACCAGCATTCCTGCTTGAAATTTTGTGATGGGTCATTGCAAACTTGGGCCTTTGCTTCTGACGGAGCTTGCGAAGTCTTTGCCTGGAGCTGCTTTTGCCAAGTCAGTGGTCCTGCTAAAAGCAGCCACCACAGGGCACCACGATTTAGAGCCCACAAGGATCAGAGCGGCCAAGAGCCGTGCATCATCAGCTGGCAAAAGAGGTGTCTACCTTTTCCTTTGAGAATCATCAGCAACCACGCGGCATGCCAAGCCGGGCCAAGGCGTGGACGTAACCTTCCGACAGGGAATTGGCAGGACACCCAGGACAAGCTACGCCAGGCGCCTCGACAGCATTGGTGTATGGTGCCTGCATGTACTTTCAGTCGATTATTTCTTGAGGAATGGTACCAGAAGTTGGCTGCTGGCGTTGATGACAATGAAAAGCCGCGGCGGGGCAAGGCCCGTTTCCTGGAAGTTACCTGCAAGTTAACAGACCACAGCAGGTCCTGGGTGCATCAGCATGCCCAAGTAAAGGAGCAGAGTAGGTCAGATGCATGCAGAAACCTTTTGAGTAGGCTGTATAATGCGGATTGACCTGAGAGCGGGATGCCCAACGGAAGCCGTTTGGTAGGCTTCCCTCCGAGGAGCTGCAACCGGGCAACTGAACTGAATTTGCGGGTATTCGTTTGTTGCACCAGCTCAGATCTCAGCAGAGCTTTTGGACTCTCTGAGGTCGCGGCGGGCAGGTGCCTCACTGCGAGGGGCGGCCTCTGCCTCCGCCAGCGCGGCGGGCAGCCAAATGGGCAGCCACTTGGCAAAAAAAGCCATGGATCTACTTTGGAGCACGAACATTACTCTCTGAAGCTGCTTCTGCTGCTAAGGTCAGGCGCCCTCTCGCTCATCTCAATCCCCGGCCATGTCGCCAAGGTGGGTGGCAGGGGTCAGAGTTTAGAAAGGAGTGCCTGACAATGTCTGAGTGATTGTGCCAGGCAGAGTCTGGGAGACGACGCTGAAGGCGTGCAGTCGAACACGATTCCTTTGGGCCCTCCTGGTTTAGGACCTCCAGGGCCAGGCCCCTCCCTGGGCTCTGGGCCTTCTTTGGGCCGGCCACCTCGTGCGCCTGGGCCACCACTGGGGCCGAACCCACGCGGTGGTTTGGGCCCAGTCCCGCAGTCTTCAGTGGCACCGAATTGGGCCTTTTAGGGATTCAGAGAATTCGGGACATGGCCGCAGGCGGAGCCGAGAGTCAACAAGAGCTTAACAGCCATGTCCTGACGGATGCGTCGCTTTGTATTGATGTAGCTACCGCTGCCAAGCAGCTTGCCGCCATTGCCAGATCTCTCGCTGGCCTTCGTCAAGAAATAGGTATCCCCAGTTAGAGAAGGAAGACAGCCAGGGCTTTGCATGTCATGAGGACATGGATTGTTTGCAGGTGTCGGTCATGCTGCTGTGATGTTGGATCAAGCTTAATTTTGAATAGTATCATTGAAGCTCATCCAGCGATGATATTTCCCCGAACTCCCATCACGTGTTTGAATCAGCTTTTCCAGCAGGCCCTGTCGTGCAGCCAATACCAGCAAGTAACAAACAATTGTCAGACCAGCACACTGCGCTGCGGCTTTCCGATTTTCACGCCAGGGAGGTGTGGTTTTGTGTGGGATGGGTTAGCACATGCTGAGTCCGCTTTACGTCTTCATGAACCCCATTGAAGAGTCCAATCACATCTCATCACCGACTGAGGATTGCAAGATGCTTTGTTGGCCTGAAAGATCTGTTTGACCTCTAGCGCCCGGAGACTGAGACTGTGAGGCCAGCCACAAGCACCAGTGATGGTATGACAATGTCGTGGCCCCGGTATGAGGGCTGAAATGCAAGAAGTCTGCGCCTGCAGAAGCTTGCTGCCGCTTGCTGCTGCCACATCTATCTTTGTGCATCTTCTTTCAGGGTTGCCAGTTTGACGTTGAGCCATCCCTTCAGTTGAGGTTGACCATTGGCCAAATCATTTTCTATGAGTCTCAGGTCCTTTGAACCCCTGGAGACAGCAACCTGCAACCAGGCAGTCTCCGAGGCCAACTGCTGAATCCTTTCCCTTCTTTAATGGTAATAAGGTTGCTTGAAGCCTGTTCACCCTGTGTCGGATACGCGTGGTTGTTCATTTGGCTGAATGGGTTTGCTTTCAGTCAGGGAGCAAGCATTGTGTTGAGGAGTTGGGATTGGAGGAGAATGTGCAATCTTGCCGTATGAGCAGGGTAAGGTTTGATTCTTGCGTTCAGACACAGGGTGCTATGACACCTCACTGCCCAGCGTGAAGCTCAATTCGAGTTGAATCGTTTTTCTTGCGGAGGTAGTCAAGCGCCCGAGTCCAAATCTCAGCTTTTTCAGTCGAGACCACATCCACGCCCATCAGTTGCCGCGACACTGCTGGGCAGTCAGACACTGGAATGTGCCCAAACTTGGTACGAAGGTCTGCGAAAGCGTTCATCAGGCATGGGCGGCATGGGTGCTGTTTGTGCCTTCTCAGGCTCTGAGACCCTGCTCCCAATGATGTGAATCTATCTCGCCTGTTATGCCTTCAGCGACTTGCGTGTAGTCCTTCTGGCATGCAAATGAGCTTTGCTTCTGGGATTCAAGAACGGTCCAACCACAACAAGCCATCACAAGTCACGTTGTGTGGGATGCAGGCGAAGACTTTGCAATCCAGCGTCGGCTATCATGGAAGGCTGCAAAGAGGGGGAGCACCTTTACGTTAGCAGACACGTCAGTCTGAAGGGTGTGTCTAGCTGCAAACTATGCAGACGGCCAGCCCCCTTCTTGTGCTTACTGATTATCTGAAATCGGCAGGATCTCGCGAACTCGAGGTGCCTGCAGGGACCAGAGCCGTGTAAAGACATACTAATATATGAAGGGTTTTGTGACAGGTTTGTTTGGCGCAGGTAGGCTTGGGGAGATGAGTTGCATGCATGGGTCTGAATAGTGCCATGGTATTCATCAATCTTCATGGACTCTTCAGGCCTTCTGTTCCTGGCTCTCCGCAACGAGACAGCAGCCTCTCAGCAACAAAAAGCTTGGGACTGGAGTCCGCGCATCTTCAGCCCTGCAAGCTTTTGTGAGGCGCGGTACAGAGCGGACCTCGATCCAGTCCTGGCCCAGGAGCGCACGATTGTTATTTGTTGAGACTCTCACGTAAAGAGCCAGGAGCAAGATGACCAAGCCTAGAAAATGTTGTTACGCAATGCAAGGCTGTGCATGTTTCTTGTAGTAGCGAACACAAGCCGTGGAGCCTCAAGTGTCAGGATCGCCCCTGGCAGAGGACTTGGATGACGCGCCAAGAAGGCCATGATGTCAGGAAGGGGGGAAGGTCGGATTCAGTTTTTGAGCTGTGGAGCACAGGATCTCAACTGGTGGGCTCACAGGTTCAGGATCTTCATCAAGCGGAATGTACTTGCTGAGTATAGGCCTGTGCATACACAACTCTGCAAAGCAGTTTGTTGTTCAAATGCGCCTCAGAAACAGAGGTCCTGTATCCCAAGGATAAGCTAGGGCGTGTACCTCAAAAATCCTGAATCAACTTGAGCGTAAACCTGAGAGTTTAGCGTGTCTCGTCTGGTGGGTCTAATGGCCAGCGGTGAGGACAAATACCACTGACCTCGTTTCCGACCAACGAGCTGTGCCATCGAAGGCAAGGGTCAAGGACTCTGTACTGGTACGATTTTTGGAGTGCTGGCCTCATGCTTAAGCCAAAGGGTTCATTAGAACTTGCGGTGCGTTTGGGCGTGAGACCGAAGCAGTTGTATGCAAACTGCAGAGGACCCTGGGACGTAGTGATTTGCAGTCCTTCGTGAAGCCATGACTTGGCCAGTTGGATCACGACAACATTGTCAACTCCTTTCAGCAAGGCAGGTCTGCACACAATCTTCAGGTCCCAGAAGGCAGGACTGTTGGTACATGTTCGCTCCTCGCGCCTTTGGAAGGACTTGCCAATGTAGAGCAGATCATAATTTATGTCAGACCCTGAGACGCAGAGCACCAGCTTTGTGGGGGACATGGGGGAACCGTGGGGGAACGGTGCAAGAGGAAGAGGCGCTTCGACTCAGGATACAGACCATATGGGTGAGTCTGATGGTGATGAAGATGGCAGACTTTCAGTCGGGGTCTTACTCTTCACGGCATGCTGTACATGGCAATGGCAGTCAACGGTCCCTGTTGAAGAGCAGAGTACAGATCTTTGGCAAGCTGTCTTGCTGCACTCATGCAACTTCGTGCAATCATTCGGCTGATCGTGGCAGACGTCTCACATGGCCCAAAACTTGCAGATCGCATCATGCAATATCCTTCCACATGCGGAAAGGTGACCTGGCGTCGCCGTGCGCTGCTACGCTGCTGCACTAACTCGACCGTCTCGAAGAGTGAACTGTTGGAGTCATGGATTATGTATGCTTCATGAAGGACGAGAGTGCATGGAGTCTGCAGTGTTATTGGACTGGAAATCCGGGCAGCAGATCGCCATCTTGGGGTCTTTGGTGAATTGGAGCCAAGCATGTGGTGCTAAGGTTGAAGCGGCTCTGCGACATCTGCATGAATATCTGTACTTGCATCCAGGAAGCATGTGGCATGCGTCGATTAGAGTTTCTATGGTAGGGCCTGATTCGAGAAATCCAAAGTTTGGGGCACCGCTCACCGAGCTGTAGCTTGTTCTAAGAAGCTCTAAGACATGAGGCGACTGTTGCGTGTTTTCCAAGCGAGGACAGGTGGTGCATAAAGTCTTTGGACGTAAGCGGGATCCAAGAAGTGGTGCGTGGGTACCTTCATCTGGTGTGTTATTTGATAGGCAAAGGGCGGAGAGGTGCAAGCCTCTCTGGCCAATAGATATGAATCCTGCAGCCACTCTGCTAGTCGTGTTCGCTGTGCACGTGGGGTGTGAATACGCAGAGCTCAAGCCATACCAAGCTTCGCACTGAGGCCAGCCGTGCCTGAGAATTTAGGTGACGTGCCGGATTTTTGACAGGAGGTCGTTGTGAAATCCTAGGCCAACCAGGGACAGCTGGCAGCAATGCGCTTCCTGGAAAAGTTTGATCTATCTGCCCGGGTGGCACATCGTATATCCTTAAGAGCAACAACGGTGGTGTCCTCCGTTCTTTTGCGGGGAATCAGCTGATCGAGCAGCATTTTCAGCTCTAGCCGGGCAGGTCAAACCTGCTGTTTCTGGAAGTAGGAAAGAAGCTGACAGCCATCAAACTCAATACCTCAGAACTAGCAGACCACCGCTGCCCATGCTGCTTCTACGTGCCAATGGTGTGGGGCAGGTTCTGAGTTCCGTTAACTCCTGGAAGATGCATTGATTTCAAATCATGAAAAGATGCCTTCACTGTTTCGAAGATACTAACTCGCAACCATGCCTTGCCTGGACAGTCTCACATGGCTCTGCCAGAGTTTCCCATGTGGACAGTGGCTCAAGGTTGATGCTGGCCGAGAGAAAAGGCAACTGTTGCACGCCAGCATCAGAAAGCAGACGGGACGATAGTAACGGGTGGTCCCACAGAGCAGTTGTCGCAAAGCAGCAAGCTCCAGCTAGAAGTTGCCGCAGGATGCTGCATCGTGCGCAGGACAGGCTCATCAGCCACGAGTATCCTTCATCAACTCAGCGAAGGAGTGATTATCATGCTGTGCACACATTTCTTCGAAGTGCAGCACAACATGAGCCGCGGTTCAAGCATGTTTAAGCATAGAAAAGCGCAAAGGCTGCAAGGGCAGCGGTATGGCCGAATTTGAGGTGCTGCGCGGGGCTAGTGCCTCCGCACTGCGAGTGCGTCTTCAGGGCAATGCAGCTGTTAGTGCGGAAAGCGATGCTTTGGTGTCGAAAACGCACAATGTGGAGGCACCGAAGTCAACAATTTCATGTGCTAAGCAGTGCAATGTGTTAGCTGCCGCAAATAACAGAGCATGCATGGCTTTTCTTTGGAGGTGCGTGCAAGCTTGGGTTCTGGTGGCTTGGGTGGCCTGCTCGGTGGGGCAGCACGGAGTCTTCTGACCAACGAGTCCTTTTTCTTGCAGACCTTGGAGTGTAAAGGTGGTTCTGGCGAGGTGCTTGTAGCACCGGAGGAGTGGTGAGACCTTGAAGCATCAAACCCAAAGCCAAGCATACCTAAGTACACGAGAGCCCGAGATCTCATAGATCCCTGCCACAGGAACAAGGAGACATCGCCGTTGTGCAGCTCCCAGGCCCAAACTTGCCTGCCGTCTTTGTGACGAGCGGCGCTTTCTTGTGTGCAGAAACTGGCATTGACACCAGCACTCGGGTGCAGGGTGTGTCGCAGGGACTTTTTAGTGGAAGCGGCCTCTTCCTCATGCGATGTAGTGGTCACGGGAAATTAGCTATGAGCTGCTTTGGCTCTTGTGTCCGATATGATCTTCAGCCCGGAGAATGCCGAGAAGTGGACAATGGTCACCTTGTGGCATGGGGCGAGTCAGTCAGCTATAGCATTGGCATGGCTTCAACTTCAATCCTTGGCAGCATTGCCAGTGGTGAGGGCCTTCTGTGCACCTTCAGAGGTCCTGGGCCTGTTTGGATACAGACGCACAAGTCCAAGCCACAAGATCCATCTTCCCGCCGAGCCAAGCAAAGCCCAGGTGGAACATTGGTGGGGCTTTGTGTCTTTGGATGCTTTCTCACGATTTTTCTTGTGGTGATCGTGATCATCGTCTTCTTTGCGGATCAGTCCGAACTGAAGCCACGAAGGCGCCCCAGAAAGTTACTAGATGAATTCTGACAAAACTTCAGCAAAGAGGATATAGAAGAAATCGATTAGTTTTCCAAACAAGGCTAGATATATTCCATCAATTGGTCATAGCCCTTCCAATGAATTCCAAAAGATTTCGGGATTATTGTCGGTTCAGGGTCATGATATCCAATTAATTTGGAAAACGTTTCTTTCTGGGAGGACTGCTGATGATACCTGCTGAGAGTAGAGCACAAACTTCCAGAAATATCGAGGACTTGACTACAACTGTTTGAACAACGTGCTGGCCACCACCCCCTCCATGGTATGGTATTGGTATCATATCTCATACTTGCCAGCATTCTGATACGTGACTGTTACTTAGCAGCAAGACTTTCATATTTGAGAGGTCAGGCAGATCCTCCCCCTCCCCTGTGATTTGGCGGAAAGCTTTTTTTTTCATGACTAGCAGGCACTTCAGGTCTCTCGGGGAGGAAGATACTTTCTCGTAAAACCCAGAAGGAAACTATAAGATGAAAAGGCGACTACTATCTTCATGAATTTTGGCACTGTACGTAGGCACCTTCTAGATGCAGTATCAAACATATCTCAATTTTATATCTCAACAATACGGCGCGACCGCTTGCGGCCATTTCGCTCGCGCACGGCCTAGCTTTTCCGACTCATTTTTAAAACGCCTCCTGCGGGCTCCCTAGGGGCTCTAAAATCTCGGAGATTTTAGAGCCTTTCTGAAAAGCTAGAGGCTCTAAAATCTTCTAGATTTTCAGTGCCGGCGGCGCGAACAAAAATCTCGGAGATTTTTGGTCGCGCAGCACTTGCCTCCTGAGCGGTTTTTCGCGTGGGTGGCTGCGCGGCTGCTCGTCGGCGCGCATAGATCCGAGATAGAGAATCTAAATCACTCAGAATTTATAGAAGCCGTATCTGATTATAGAGATTTATGATCTGGGGGGCGGTGCTGCCTAATATTTCTTGATTTTTTTGAATTTTCTCTCTCTCTTTGATTATTTATATTGCGGTTCGAGATAGATCCGGGGCAGAGATTAAGAAGCTTCTAGAATTTGGCAGATCGATTATTTATTAAATACGGTCTTGCAAAATCTCATGAGATTTCAAAAAAAATTCTCTTTTTGGCTATTGCGCGGCAGCTCAACAGAAGGAATAGGTCGGGAGAGGAATTTATTTACAAATTTTCGGAATTTATATATTAACTACGATCTTATAGATTGATAATTCATTAGATTTCACGTTCGATTTTATATGATATTCATTAATCGGATTTCTCGTTATAGAGATTCTTAGATAAATATTGATATAAATTTCTGGAAATACTTACGAATATCTTTAAAATTCATAAAGACTTTGGTTTTCTATCTCGGGTCTACGAATTCTTCTGATGAAAGATGGCTAATTAAAGAGATAACTAAGAGAGATGGATTTTATATTTCATGAAAAAGAAAAACTAAAGAATCATAAATTTCGTAGAATATATAAGCTCGTATATAAATGAAAATATTCAATCTAAAATTCTATTTCGGATTTATATTGATTCGTATAAGTGATCCAAATCTTTGATAAGGTCGAGTCGCGCATTTCTTGAATCGATTCTGCTTTTTCCCTTTTTATATATCTCTCTTTTGGATTAGTCGCGCGACGAAAATTTTAGATTCCGTACGAACGAAATGATTATTATAATATTGAAGAATATAGGTTAAAGATATTTCTTAATGATAAATATCTAAAATCTATATATTCTCATATTTTTTTCTATTTTCTTCTATTCAAAGAAGATTTAAGAGATAAGATTTCTTTTATGTCAATATATCTAAAAAAAATATCTCAATATTATGGCGCGATCCTTGCGGCCAATTCGCTCGCACGCGGCCTAGCTTTTCTACTTCATTTTAAAAAAATAACTCTTACGGGCTCCCTCGGAGATTTTAGAGCCTTTCGGAAAAGCTAGAGATTCTCTAATTTTGGAGATTTTTGGTCGCGCGGCCCTTTTCTCTGGAATGATTTTCCGCGTAATTTATTTATCTCTTTGGATATCTACGCGGCTACTCGGCGGGACGGAGAATGGATATCATTTAGAATTCATAAATTGATCATATCTATCTATAGAGATTTATGCATTCTGCCGATTCGTCGCGACGATAATTCTAGATAGATAAATGAGATAGAAAGATCGGGCTGGATACGGGGGCCGCGCGACTCGAAATCTCCCGAGATTTCGTATTATTTCTCTCTCCCCTCGACTGGGTAAGCGGCGGTTCGGGGTCCCCCTGAATGGAGATCTAAAATCTTTCAGAATCTCTTAGATCGATCGTTTTTGATCAGATTCAAGCTTTCATTTTGATTTTTCGTCGGAATCTTATATATTCTATATGATTTATCTCTCTTTGATTATCGGTGCGACTATTCGAAGGAACGCGTAGATCCGAAACGGAAATACAAACTGTTTCAGAATTTATAATATGATCGTATCTATTCATTAAGATTTATGCGCTCCCCCGAATCGTCACGCAGATAGCCCAAGAGAGATAAATGAAGCGGAAAGATCGGATTAGATACGAAGAGGTCGCGCGATCAAAAGATCATAAGATCAATAATCTCTCAAGATTTCGAACTATATCTCTCTTCGATTGCGCGGCGAATCGGAAGAATGAGAAGATCCAGGACGGAGATCTAAAATCTTTCAGAATCTATCTTGAATGTGCGTTTTTGAAATATTGATAATTCATCGGATTGCGCATACGAGGCTTATATATTATTTGGTCATTAGATTTCTCGTCTCAGATTTTTTTAAATAAATATCTTCTGTTGCTCTAGATAATAGGCCAATTCTAAAACTATTAAATCCCATATTCATAAGATTCCCGCATCAATGAAATATTTTTTGAAATATTTCTCCTAGATTCCGCACAATACGGCCAATCGTAGAGATAATAGGAATCGAATTCACGATCTTCGCAATTATCTTCATTTGAGATCTATCTCCGAAATATTATTTTCTTCATTTATCATTATTTATAAATATAAAGGATCTTAAGAATATCAAGAATCATAAATATGATTAATATCCTACTCATAATCTTCATATTCATCGTCATTTATATCAATTTTATCAAACATCTCGACTCCGAGCGGGGTCCGTTAGCTTTTTGATTAGACTCCGTGCCATTAGGCCTGCCGCGCTGCCAACATTCTGCCTGCTACTCAGCTTCGGGTACGCATCCTTGAGGAAGTTATGGAATATCTTTTAGATATCAATTCCAGCGAGCCCATCAAATCCTACTACATTCTGCAGTTGACCTACAACCTGACAGCAGACCAGGACGCTGTAAGCCTGCTGGCTTTCTCAAGGGCAACGCTATCGTTGGAGAAGCATAGAAGGGCTCGAGCCTTCTTGGCGGCAGAATAGCCTCTACTGCTCCCAGCCAGCGGCACATACAAGATTTGCAAGATAGACCAATACCGGAGGAAATAACCAGATCCAAGGCCAAATAGATGCAATTCGTCGGGTCAATCATTAAGGAGATTTGCATTCTGATCTATCGCCATGACCTACGTCGCCAAGGCCTATCTGAACGAGCGATATCAGCCAAGGCAACCTGGGCGGGAAGGCAGATATCTGGGGTCGGCATTCACGAGATCTGCATCCGTACTGCGGACAGACTTCAATATAGACGCGAAGAACTACAGATTCTCATCGACGCTTGGGAACGCATCTCCTCCCATCCGATCGGAGAAAATGATCTGTGATTCTACACATACTGGTTCAAAGACGATCGAGTTAATGGCGAGGACCGAAATAAGATTTTCGAAGTTGGATTGGACCTCATTCAGAGATAGATCCAGCAACACCACGGCTTTCAGCCTTCATCACTAATTCGCAGAGCCATTGAGAGAGCTGCATGGGGCATGGGAGATGTTAAATCGCTGCTCATTTTCGCAATACTCGGACCGGAAGACAAGGCAGAATTCTTGGAGTTTGTCTATAGAGGCGTTCCCATCAGCTCCTCTCGAAAAGACGAAGTCGCTGAGGATCAGAAGAATCAGGCCAGAAGAAGCGGAGACTTTTCATATACGGCTATTATGGAGGGTCCAGCACTTTTGGTCATGGAATGGATGGAGCTGCTCCGGTCCCAATGCCGGAGGCGGACACGATGCTGATTCAGGGTTAGTGCACTCTTTACCTTTTGATTTTCCGACTTATATGCACTATAATCAGACGTCCGCGGATGCTAGGGTTGGAGGAGTAGTAGGCCGACGCCCTCCTGGAATCCAACAATCTGAAACCCCAGAGATTCCCAGGAATAGGAACCATTGCGGCCCACAACCCAAGAAGGAGAATCCCCAAAGGAATCCTTGTAGCTCACTATTTCCCCTTTCAACGAGCTCGAAATCCTAGACGTAATACAATCTAAGCCTGGACTAACACCAAACTTGCCCCGCAATCTCCAAACCCCGGCGATGGGACTATTTGTTCTATGGTTGGTAGGAGCAGCATTAAGGGTCACCAGGGAAAAGGGAGCAACACATCACTGGACCACCATAAGGAAGTGCCGAGGGCAATATCGCAGAGTTCGTCATTTCAACAAGGCGTGCCAGTGTCAGCCTCAATCCCTACCTCATAAGCTCCCATCTGTTATATATAGGAAGGGAAGCTGCATACCACGCTTGGCCCGACTCTTCGCCATGCTCATCGTGTTTGAGCTGCTCCAAATGGCACAGGCAGCACCCCGAAGTAGGGCAGCCTTGAAACCCCCGCGTAAGATAACCTTCCTTAGAGCCAGATCCCTTGCATAGTCGCAGGCAAGAAGACCATATCGCGGACGCCTGCATGAAGCTCCCCCCTTGGACCCCCCCTTCACCATGCGTCCAACCTCAGCCCCTACGCCCAAATGCAGATCGCGTAAGCCTCCTTCAGGAATCCGCATAATTACTTGGAACTCAGGAGGTCTACACACGGCCCCGATGGGCAGAGCTGCTTCAGTGGCTGCAAGACGAGGCCATGCGACAGAAGCCTGTACATGTCTGCTTTATCCAGGAGACACACTGGCCAGCCGCATCTGAATTCAATGATCCAACTTGGATCTGCATGCACTCGGGCACCGGCACTAGGGAGGGAGGAGTTTTGACAATGGTAAGTCGCGCTACCTTTAAAGATTGCACTGTTAAGTTCGCTGAGCCAATTGCGGGCAGAATGCAGCATATTCGGGTGGAGACAGTTCCTCCCATAGATCTCCTGAATATTTATCAATATATATGGAATACTGCCAAAAAAGAACTCCAAAATCAGCTCGCCTCCCCAGAGCAGATTCTGCTGCAACAACGGCAGGATGTCTGGAACGGCTTACGAAGCTGGATAGCCTCTATTCCTAAGAGAAATAGCTTGGTAATAGCAGGGGATATGAATGCGAGCCTTATCCCGGCCCGCCCCAACATGGGACCTGGCACTGGATCGATCCATTGGCACAAGAAAGATAATCACTCGTTACAAGCCATTCTCCAAACATCCGATCTGAACGCCACAAATACTTGGCGCAAGGCTGGCAAGCAGTCGGCCACTTTCTTGACGCACAAAGGAGAGGGATCGCAAATTGATTATATGATAATTCGCAACCCCTGCAACCTTTCACGTCTTCAGGCCCGCACGCTTCCCTTAGCCCCCATAGTTCACCCTGCCGGCTTCAGACATATACCTATTCAGTACTACATTCCGTGGCCGTCTATGCCAAAACATGCTCCGATGCATTTTGCCGCAGCAGCAAATATGCGCCGCACATGCGAAAGACAGCCCGTAGTTCTCGAGAACTTCTGCAGAGAAGTTGCAGCACTGCAATGCTCGGCTGAGGAGCTTGATCAAAAGCTCAGCGAAGCGTAGAAAGCCTGCCAGAGATAAGCCCCAATACTCCCAATAACTACTTTAAATCAGCCTGAAGTTAGCCTCAAGACATACTGGGAAGCCAAAAGATACTTAAAGGTGCTCACAGAAGTGACTGCTATGCCGTGTGTACTGGCAGGACAGGCCTCTGCTGCATTAATCCAAAATAATAGGGCCACGTGTACGGGTCAATATCTACAAACCGTCCTTCAAAGATGGCGAGCCCTAGCCGCCTTCCAGAAGCAAAATAAATTACTGCGCAAGCGTGCCAGAGATAGAAAGCAGGCCAAGGTAGAGAGGCAAATTGAGGAAGCGATAGAGGCAGACAATAAAGGGCTTACTTATCTCTATAAGTGCATGAATATACTTCGCCCCAAGCAGCCCAAAAGGACCATTCATATCAAGGGCAAGGATGGCAAGATGCAATCGGACCAGGCGGAAATCGCCAGCATATAAGAATATTTCCAGCAAGTCTTCTCAAGTTCTACGCCCAAGAAGCATCAGGAATGGCACCTTCAGAGCCATCTCAATATCAATCTGGAAGAAATCCGCGATGCGTTCCATAGCCTGTCTGCCAAGAAGGCCCTGCCGGCGGGTCATGCTCCAACTCGGCTCTGGAAAGCCGGAGGAGATATTATTATCAGAATTCTGCACGAAGACTGGAGCTCCAGATTCTCTCCAGATCAATTATATCTGCCTCCTTCGTGGAACGAATCGAGCACAATACTAATCCCAAAGCCGGGAAAGCCTCCGACTTCTCCTGCCAACCTAAGGCCCATAAGTTTACTGCCAGCCATCCCCAAGCTGCTGGCCAGGATCGTAGCCAATCGACTTAGACCCTATCTTGAAGAGGCGGCTTTCCAGATGCCACAATTTGCCTACCTTACACAGCGGCAAACGCTCGACTCCATTGACAGAGCTCTAGCCCATTGCGTGCACATACGTAAACGGATTGCGGAGAATAGAATAAATCCTTTTCGTAGCAAAATCCGAATCCCTTTTACTGGGGGAATGCAGCTGTCGCTGGATATGGCAAAGGCGTTTGACAGAATGCCACGCCCATTTCTCCTTCAATCCCTTGAGAGAATCAATGCTCCTGCGGACCTCATCGCTCTGATTATGTATGTGCATGACAACGCATGCATGCAGTTCCAGCGCAACCAGCAAAGTAGGGTCATTAGTACAGGGTCTGGGATCAGACAGGGATATGGCCTTGCCTCCCTACTATGGATGGCATATTCTTTACTGCTCTTCAATAAAATGCTTTCGTACCTAAGTCCCCAGCAGCTGACGGGCTTTGCTGATGATTTGCATATACAATGAAGCTTCGACATTCCCCGACATTTCAGGAACGCATATGCGCAGGTAGGATTCATACTTAAGGACCTTAGAGAGACGGGAATACAAGTCTCCTCAGAAAAAACTATCATCCTTCTTGCACTCTCTGGACAATCTTATTTCCAGGATGTTTAAGCCCTTTATGAGAAAAATAAAATCAGGCAGATGCCTGAGGGTCCATGATGGGCAAGGCGAGGTCCTGCTGCCCATTAAGTCATCACTCACGTATTTAGGGATCAAAATAAGATTTCAGAGCTTTGAGAGATCGATTCTTCAATATAGACTCCAGTTGTCCTGTCAAGCATTTCCCAGGCTGCACACCTTTCTTTGCCCAAAAAAGCTGGCTGTGCATCAACGCCTTAGACTTTGGCGAGCGTGCGACCTCAATATAGCGCAGTACGGCTTGACGGCAGTTGGTCTTGATGATGTAGGCGCCCCCAAATATAGGGCTCATATATATAGGCAGCTACGGATCATTATGGGTAATCCGGGACACCTTATACATGAGACCAACTCCTCACTCGCCGCCAGATATGCCGTGAGGGATCCTATTCATGACCTATCGATAAGAACTGTCCAAAGGATTCAACAAATCCAGTGCACGCTTCTGCATCTTCAAGGGACCCTTATTCAGCAGAGATGGACTCAGCTCTTGTCAGATTTGGCTATGCCCAATCAGAATATCCAACATGAGAAGGGTACTCTTACGGAGGTAACCAAAGTCATCAGGATCCAATGCTCCTGCGATGAGTATGGGCAGCAGTTCGGCAGCTTTCATGCCCTTCGGACTCAGATCGGCAAAGCTCATCCTGAGAATAGCAGAGCCCTCACTAAGGCCTCCTATCCGGAGAGATCTGCCAGAAATGACGAGTATATAAAATATTCAATAGAAGGGAAATCGCAGTCTAAATATTATAATAAATAATTTCCTGGATGGGCAATATATATGGCCCATTATAATCAACGAGTATATCCGGTGAATCATGCTCCATCCGCAGAGCCGGCCTTTTCCTCAGAACACAGTCCTGCTCATGGGACGCTCGCGTCGGGGACTGTAGTATTAGAGGAGGAATCTATTCCCATCTTTCAGCAGCCCAGTATCATTTCTCAGGCAAATCAGGGCGAAATCGGACCGCTAGTTGACAGCATTCGCCGACAGCGTAAACTCAGCTACTGCCCAGAGTGTGGAGTACAATGCAAGACACCCATGTATGTTGCCCGGCATGCCCCCAAAATACACGGTGCAATCAAGGCTGTCAATATACTTATTATAGACTGGGCTCGAAACTATGAAGTGCCTGCCAATCCTTGCGCCTGGTAGGGAAGAACCTACCAGACTCAGGCAAAGGCACCCAGAAATGCTTATCCCATATTATGGTCATGCGATCGCCTGCTCTACAGACATGCCACGCTAAAGCTGCCAGGCCAAACAACGCTGGTCGATGACGACTCAGGTCAGCCAGGAAGAGCTGCTGCGCGCCACTCAGGAGCTGGAGGCCTTTTCCGGATTCATACCCCCGATTCCGGGGACTCCAAGTTCGGAAGCATCCACCACGCTTCCTC